TGGCCTTGAACCCTTCCAGGGAGGGGGCAGCCACAGCTTCTCTGGGCAGCCTGTGCCAGGGCCTCACCACCCTCACAGGGGAGAATTTCTGCCTTAGATCTGATCTAAATCTCCCCTCTTTCAGCTTAAAACCATTCCCGTTGTCCTATCCCTCCCTCCGATGACGAGTCCCTCCCCCCTTTCCTGCAGCCCCTTTCAGCCCTGGGGGGGCCGCTCTAAGGTCTCCCCGGAGCCTTCTCTCCTCCAGCTGAACCCCCCAACTCTCCCAGCCTGTCCTCACAGGGGGTGCTCCAGCCCCCCCCAGCATCTCCATGGCCTCCTCTGCCCCCGCTCCAGCAGGTCCGTGTCCTTCTGCTGTTGGTGCCCCAGAGCTGGACCCAGCCCTGCAGGGGGGTCTCATGAGAGTAGAGTAGAGAGGGAGAATCCCCTCCCTAGAACAGAATAAAATGGAATGGAATAGAGTAGACTAGACTAGAATATTATGTTCTCAGCTGGAAGGGACCTACAGTGATCATCTAGTCCAACTGCTTGACCACTTCAGGGCTGATCAAAAGTTAATGTATGTTGTTTAGGATATTGTCCCAATGCCTCTGAAACACCGACAGAGGCATTGACCAGGGGGTCAAGGAAGCCTGTTCCCGTGTTTGACGACCCCCTCTGTAAAGAAATGCTTCCTAATGTCCAGCCTAAACCTCCCCTGGAGCAGCTTTGAACCATTCCCACATGTCCTGTCACTGCATACCAGGGAGATCAGCTACATGCTGCTCAGTGCCCTCTCTGCACCTTTATTAGATTAGCAGTCAGTCTCACGCTGGTCTCTGCATAAAGTGTGGAGCTCATCACCAAAATATGGAGCAGAAAATGAGGTTTAACCTTCCTCCCATCGTCCTGTCCGCTGCTGAGCTAAGGGCCAGGCACCATCAGCTCAACAGGGTGACCCAGCTCACTCAGAAACACAGCGAAGGGGTTTATTGAAATCATAAAGCAGTAAACGGAGCTTAAAAATGCAAAAGAGGATTAAAAAAAGTCATCAACTAAAAGAACAGACAATTAAACCAATTTTCCAGATTACCCCAAACACTGCAGGTGTCACCATTTGCTAACCCAGGGGCTACCTGAAGCTTACAGGCAGCCACATCTTATTCAGATTCTTCCTTTTTGTGTGGGCTTATGTAAAAAGGTGCAAGAGATGTTCGTATTAATGAAAATTTCTTGCCTGGAATTTGTCCTTGTCTGCATTTACAAGCCTGTTAAGAAAGGTATAGAAATAGATAAGGAAAAAAAGCCCCCAGTGTGCTAAGCGGAGCTTATCAAACTAGGTGGCATTTAAAACTGACACATTCAGTGAGTCAGACAAGTGACAGATCCCATCTCGCTGCCTTTTACTGGGAGCGAGTCCCCTGTGGGCTTTTCAGAAATGCCCAATTTGCTCAAGCACTTGCAAGGAAAAAAGTCCTCGGAGTGGAGGGGGGGGGGCAATTACCTGCCCCCCTGGCAGCCGGAGATGCTGGCAGCCTTGGCCTCAAGCCCTTCAGCTGGTCCAGCTCATCTTCCAACTTGATTTAAACCGATTTGGATTGAAAAAAAAAAAAAAGAGAGTGGGCATTTCGGGTGCCAGAGGTTCGCAGCTTTGAACAAACGTACCAAAATGATGAAAATGTCTCCACCACTTCTTGGCATGGGGAGAAAAAGCCACTGTTAAGCCTCTCCTTGCAGAACAGAGACTAAAAGCACTTGGAGATGTAGAAATCATATACCATGCCTCCTCTCACTCTGCAAAACTCAGACCTAACGAGCAGCCTTAATGAAGCACGACACTACAGCTGGAGGCCAACCCAAGCTCTGCAGAGTTAAATATTTTCCCCAGGTTTCCACTGAAGGCTTTAATTTGGGTCTGAGCATGATGCACCGACCCAGTATTTTCCACTGAAATGCTTTTGGCCCTAGAATGATGCCAGCGCTCGGCCCCCAGTTTTAATGTTTCTCTTCGACCACCTTGGTTTAAAATAACCTCCATGGTGGTAAGAGCAGCTGCTTCAGCAGAGCTTTGGATCTTCCTACCAAGAAACTCTTGGGCTATCTGCATCAGGGAGGAATAAAAAGTCCTTCATCCAGGGTTCCTCTAGGGTGAAACAAGAGCTCAAGGGATCCACAGGGAAGCAAAGATAGACTGGACTAGACTAGACTAGACAGGATAGGATCGGATAGGGAGGATAGGGTAGGATAGGATAGGATGGGATAGGATAGGATAGGATAGGATAGGATAGGATAGGATAGGATAGGATAGGATAGGATCTGTCTCTTATA